CCTGGTTGTCTTATCAGATTCACCAAAATGGAGGGAAGTTTGTAGGTAATGTTTGGTAACTTGCCGTTAGTTTCAGTAGCAAAACAATGGTAGACGTGACTCTCTCTGATAAACATGAATCCTGATTAGATTCTGATATCACTTCAGCATGAGGAATAAAAATAATCCTGCTAATTTGACTTTAAGTGGAATTTTGTCTCTTTATTCTTACAAGGAAGCTCTCAGCAACCAGGCTCCAACCGAATTCATCGTCTAATTTAACCCCCAGCCCCCACAAAACCCCTCATGTTTGTAATGACACCGTGGGATCGAAGATTATACATCCTAAGACAGATATTATGTCGCATCCGAGAAACATCGATCCTGTGTAAGTTAGAATATAAATCCACAAGGATTCACCTGCATCACAGGTATGAGAAACATGGACCATCTACAGGAACACATGAAAGAGAGAATGAGTGTCTGTGTTCTTGTGTCCTATTAATAGCATATTAACAAGTTGTGGTAATATGAAAACTAGGGCACTACAGGGTGCGTGGAACAAGATGGGAAATGAATATCCTCCACACGGGGTTGACAGAGTGTCAGTAAACCAGCAATATTCCAAACACAAGATCCAAATGCAGAAGTGGCTCTTGTAGGTTAATGAGGTGCTTCAGTGTGAATAAGTCTGTTCTGTACTCGCTCACAGCAAAAACTTCCAATTAGATAGTGCCTTTGTAGCTGAATTGACTGTATAATATGGGTATATTATGCCCACACAATACATAGTCACTTGACAGTATATTCTGTGAAGCGCTTTGAGACGTCTCAACAGCGCGATAAGGCGCTCTATTAAATGCAAGGATTATTATTATTATTATAATAACGAATCTTGCATTTGATATTGCGTTTATAATATTGAGAATGTCTCAAAATGGTTCATCAAGTTTTTGTGAAGTGACTGTGTATCTTGCAGCCAATTGATGCACAAGTCCCACGGAAACAGGGAAACGAATGAGCAACTTGCTCCTTCGTTTGACTGACTGAACCCTCAGCCACTAATGGTGAGACAGAGCGAGCGGAGAACAAACAGTAGACATGAGTTGGCAGAACAAAGAGTTTCTGATGAAGTTACCAGATAGTTTAATCTGTTCCAATCTGTTTATCAACGCCACCGTTAAGTAATTAGCCTGAAAGCTATAAAACTGACAGGAAGATAGAAATTAGAGCACAGGATTGCCAGAAATATAATAATAATAATCCCTGTATTTGACAGAGGGCCTTTCATGCCCGGAGGATATCTCAAAGCGTTTCACAGGATTTATTATATAATATATTATTATATTATTATTATACAGTGTAGTGACTGTTTTGTAGGCAAACAGACAACCAATTTGCGCCCAACGATATCGCATATTATTCACAGGCTCTTTTAATGATAATGTCTGGTCTTATTGGGAACAATTAACCCTCTCAGTGCAAACCAAAAGGTCCTTGGCCATTATTAATCAGGATGAAGGCATTCCTGTCTCTTTTCCTTTGGTCACCGAGTATTACTGAGCTCCCAAACAGATCATTTATTAACAGATGAAAATGCAATGCAAAAAAAAGTCTCTGTATTTTGAGCTTTATTGACCACACATCGTTGTCTATTGGAAACACAAGGCACCTTAAAAAGAAAACCATACGTAGTACAGAAGGAGGCCATTTGGCCCATCGTGCCTACGGAAGAGCTACCAACTAGTCCCACTCTCGCGCTCACACCATAGAGCAATTTTTTCAAGTACTGTATATATCCAATTCCTTTTTGAAAGTTATTACTGAATCTGTCTCCACCACCCTTTCAGACAGCACGTTCCAGACCAATAACAACTCATTTCCTGGACTATTCCTTCACTGGTTGAGGATAAATGTTTTTTTTAAAAAGAAAGTTATGCACGAATTCCACCATATCTGGTCAGACCTGGATGGGGAATCGCGTCTCACAATCCACCGACACTTGCTGAGAAAGTTGTGGAGAAAGTGTGGTGTGAAATGTACCTGTTGTAACCTTTCACTTACACCGTGTAGCTTTCAATCAGTTCCTCTCACTCTCCATCCCGAGGGGAAGCAGCAACAATCAGGTAAACTCCGTGTCAGACTCTCCGTGTCCTCTCCCCACAAGTGAAAAGTCAAGACACACAGTAAATGAGAGAAAAAGAAGTACAAAATAATCCGGTGTTAACTGTGCTGCGCCACGTTGCTAAGCAACCTCTATTAGCTCCCGATCTGTTTAACTTGCCCTCAAAATTATAAAAATAAGATTAAAAAAAAGTGTTTTTATTTTCTGTAAGCATGATAAAAATATCACGCAGTATCTAACGATTGGAACAACGCACTAGTTACCATTTCTGGATAGAATTTCCTGTTATGCCCACAAAGTACAGTCAATCTGCTTTACAGTATATTCTGTGAAGCGCTTTGAGACGTCTCGAACATGTGAGAAGGCGCTGTGCCAAATGGCAGCATTATTATTATTATTATTTGTTAAATTCACAATGCCCTTGGTGCCTGGGAATGGTTAAGCCCTAAACATGGGATGTTGCTGCCTCGCAGCCCCACATGCAAACTCTACCGCCAGATTTATTAAGCCTCTCAGTTAGGAGAATTCCCACCGGTTCCCCACACAGTCCCTTCGTATTCATCATTTATTAATATCAGTATCTGCTCGAGCAACAGAGGACACAACTAAATCAAAATAGATAATTCCTCTCTCGCCCACACCCAATCCCCTCTCTTCACCCCTCTAGCTCTCAAACCCCTCTCTCCCCTTCCTTCCTCCCCCTCCCCACTGTCCCTCCCCCTCTTCCCCCAACCCCTCTTCACCCCTCTTGCTCCCAAACCCGTCTCCCCTTCCTTCCTCCCCCCCCACTCCTCACTCTCCCTCCCCCCTCTTCCCCCTCCATCCCCCAACCCCCCTCTAGCTCCCAAACCCCTCCCCTTCCTTCCTCCCCCCCCCACTCCTCACTCTCCCTCCCCCTCTTCCCCCTCCATCCCCCAACCCCCTCTAGCTCCCAAACCCCTCCCCTTCCTTCCTCCCCCCACTCCTCACTCTCCCTCCCCCCTCTTCCCCCTCCATCCCCCAACCCCCCTCTTCACCCCTCTAGCTCCCAAAGCCCTCTCCCCTTCCTTCCTCCCCCCTCCCACTCCCCACTCTCCCTCCCCCCTCTCCCCCCAACCCCTTCCCTCCGCACTCCATCCATCAACCCCCCCCCCCCCCCCCCACTCCTTCTTCGACATCAACTGAGATCAGCTCCATTTGCTTTCCATGAAGACTTCTCCCTGAGCTGTGAGTTTGATGTGGGGAATGGCTGAGGTGCTGTGTGGACAGTCAGTGGATCAGTCTCTCCAAAGTGGAAGCAGCCAATTGCATCTCTCCGGCTATTTGCAGATGGAATAAATACTCAGTGTCTGATCTCACAGAGAGGTTTATAATTATATATTTTTAAAAAAAGCTCCGTGTGTGTGTGTTGGTTAATGTTTCTTAATTAGAAGCCGGGGTGTTGCCAGACGGTGACGTGAACTGGTTGGTGAGTGAGTGAGGAGTACCCAAACTGAGGGCTTTCAGCACTCCCTCTCCCTCTCTGTGTGTCTTCGGTCTCTCCATCTCTCCCTCTCCGTCTCTCCATCTCTGTGTCTCTCTGTCTCTCCATCTCCTTCTCTCCCTCTCTCTGTGTCTCTCCCTCCGTCTCCGTCTCTCCCTCTGTCTGTCTCTCCCTCTGTCTGTCTCTCCCTCTGTCTGTCTCTCCCTCTGTCTGTCTCTCCCTCTGTCTGTCTCTCCCTCTGTCTGTCTCTCCCTCTGTCTGTCTCTCCCTCTGTCTGTCTCTCCCTCTGTCTGTCTCTCCCTCTCTCTGTGCTAAGGCGAGTCCGGAGGCAGCCGCCGCGGGGGGTGAGTACCAATCCCCCCCCACCCCCCCCCCGATAAACCCAAGGGACACAGACCGCTGACAGACCCTCCCTCACTGACACAGTCCTGCACTAGTCACGGTGTCTTGGTCCCTATTTTAATATATTGCGTTCCCCCCAAAAAACATCCATTGTTTTTGCGACCGCGGATTTCAAACGCCCACAGAAAAGGGGCGATTTAGCCCCAATCTGAAGGCGTTGGACCAGCGCTGCCCATCGGGACAGAGCAGTGAGAGGGGAACAGCGCTCAGTGGAACAGCTCTGAACCGCAGCGTTCAAGAATCCGGAGATTTGGGTTTGTTTTTACTGACAATCTTTCCTCTCGGGGCTGAGGCTGTGAGTTAGTATTCAGTGTGTGACCAGCGCTATCGTCTCTCTGCGCCCCCCTTCCCCCCCTCTCTCTCTCTCTCTCTCACACACTCTCCCCCCCACCCCCCCCCCCCCACCCCACCCTTTCTCCCCAGTACAGTGTTTGGGTTGGGGCTGAGGCTGTGAGTTGGTGTTCAGTGTGTGGGGCTTTTCATCAGGAGCTGCTCTCTCTGTCTCTTATTCTCTCTCCTATTCTCTCTCTTGTTCCCCTTTTCCAGCAGAGCTGAACGGAGCAGCGGTGAACCAGAGAGGAAAAGCCACCGTGTGGGAGTGGGAGTGGGTGTCAAAAAAAAAATCTCCCGAAATATGGAAGAAAAACCTCTTTGAAACTTCCTGATCCAGAGCAGGGAGGAGAAAGGACAAGGAGAGAGGGAAGGAGGGAGGAGGAGGAGAGAGAGAGAGGAATTAAATCCACCTGAAATGGAATCCGTTGCATGAGAGAAAGGGGGGGGAGAGAGGGAGAGAGATCCCAAGATTATTTTTTTTTTGGGGGGGGGGGTGTGGGGGCTTTGAATGAGGAGAGAATCGAGAAGAAAAAGAAGCATCATCGAATCGGCCTGCCGCAGTGACAGGGAACATCTCACACACGTGTAGATATATATATATATCACATTGCTGCCTCACACAGCACTGGGGGGGGGGGGGGGGGGCGTGTGTTGAGCACAGACACAGACAGAGAGAGAGACAGAGACACAGAGAGAGGGAAGGGGGAGAGAGAGAGAGAGAGTGAGAGAGCAATGCGGGAGGTGGTCTGTGTTGGAGGCGCCTTGGACCAGGGCAGGAGGAGGGAGCAGTAGGGAAGGAGCAGCGCGTCTGTGCGTCTTTGGAAAGGAAGATCATCGGAAGGGAACCGCGTCGCTCACTCCCAACCCACGACTCCAAAGACATGCAGCACCTCCTGATATTCCTCATCTACCTGGACCCCCTGAACCTGCTGATCTGGGCCGAGAGGACTCGCAGCAGCAACAAGACCCTGGGCTCCCCCAGGCGCCAGGACTTGTCTCACCCCAGGGAGCAGCGGGTCAACTCCACGGCGGTGGTCCCTGTGCTGCAGATCAGCAGAATGAAGCCCCTGGTCCTGCAGAACTCGGAGAAGTGTCGGGGTCACTACGACGTGGCGGGACAGTGGGACCCGGACTTTGAGTGTAACAAAACCTCCTACAATTACTGCTGTGGCACCTGCTTCATGCGTTACTGCTGTCAGGACAAGAACTACAAACTGGACCAGAACACCTGCAACAACTACGTGACCCCCAAACGCGAGCCTTCGCAAGTGACCACAGAGCCCGACCCCGACAAGTTCAAGGATGAATACGATCCGTCCAAAGACCAGACCAACACCACTGTCTACATCTCCTGTGGGGTCATCGCCTTTGTCATCGTGGCCGGAGTCTTCGCCAAAATCACCTACGACAAAGCCACCAGACCTCCTCGGGAAATGAACGTGTCCAGGTAAGGCGGCTGTGTTTCATATTAATAATACTATAGAGAATAATAATCCTGGCGCGTGACCCCCAGCGCCTGATCACGCCGTCGAGATGTCTCAAAGCGCTTCACGGGATATACTGGAAAGTGTAGTGATTGTGTGTCTTGTGGGCGAAACACGGCAGCCAATTGCGCCCAGCGACGTCCCCACAAACAGCCGTGGATTGAGTGACCACATGTTTATTATTTTTTTGGAGGGATTATTACCCCCTGAAAGTGATCTGCCAATCCACCAGATTTCTCTCTCTCTCTGGGGGCACTCGTAAAATATATCCTTTTTTTGTGTTTATTTAATGCCCCAATTTTAATGTTCCTCTGAGGCGCAGTGTGACACTTCTCTATCTGGTTGTCACATCAATAGTAGACATAGAGCAAAGCATCTGTTCTGAAATGGACAAGGTTCGCTTTTGGACAAGGGATGGAAGGCTGGAAAAATAATAATAACCCTTGCATTTGACACAGCACCTCATCACGTCTTCTCGACGTCTCAAAGCGCTTCACGAATAGACTGTAAAGCAAATTGTCTGTATAGTTGTGGGTGAAATGTGGCAGCCAATGGCACACAGCAGCGTCCCACAAACAGTCGTGGATTTTGAGTGACCAAATTGTTATTGTTTTTGTGAAGCCCAAAGCTCTTTTTTTTTAAAAAACATTTACCCTCACCCTCAACCCTCCCCCCCCCCACCCAGAAAAAATCTGAGAGCTCAGAGGCCACATTTAAACAAAAATAAATGTACATGTGTACAATGCAATATAAATAATAAACCTGGCACTGAATAGGAGTCGTTCTGCACGGACCTGTCCTTCCGATGGTTAAATTGAACTTGGTAACCAATCTCTCTCACCCTAGGCACAGAGCAGAGCAAAGCAATGCAGATCCATTGATCTAATGAGCTCAGGCAGGAACTGAAACACTCTGGTGTTGGCTGGAGACGGTATGGCAGGAGATATCAGTAAAACCGCAGAAAGGCTTGTCTGGAATCTGTAGATGATACAGTGTGCGGATGGAACTGAGAACATTGACCATAAGCCCCTTTTATTACTGGTCTCTCGCGGGTTTTACCTGCTAAACAAAAGAGATTCATCTCCCCAATCAATCAATCCTGAAACCTCATGTTATAACAAGCCGCTTCCCTAAAGTCAAGCAGATATGTAGACACTGGAGTAACAATAATTACATTGCCAGAGGGTCACTGACCTATTAAATCACCTTTATCAAAACATTAAGCAGCATGATCTGCAGTGAGTGAATGGCTTTTGTTGTGTCGGGGAAAGAAAGAACACACTACAATTTCCAAAGTGAAATGACAGTCCCTTTGTCTCCCACTTTGTTGGCAAATTATATTATATTGGATTAACGTCAGATTAGAAAGAGAACACATCAATTAATGTACAAACCACGATCGTGCCTCCACCACAAAACCCACCTCGCCATTCCGTGCACATAACCCAGCAGCTCACAGGTCAGGCTAATTTTGAATACCCGATTACCTATTTGGTTCAGGAATTTCATACCCTAACGTCAGCCGATGGAATGAGGGTCAAGGATTAAATGAAACCAGGTAAATGCAGAAACAACAACAACAACAACAAGATTCCATTTATAAAGCGCCTTTCACGTCAGGAGGACGTCCCAAGGCGCTGCACAGTTGGGTCATGACCCGAGCAGGGGGGAAATGGTCAGGGTGAGGGGAGGGAAGGGAGGGAGCGAGGAGGGGGGAAATGGTCAGGGTGAGGGAAGGGAGGGAGCAAGGAGGAGGAAGAGAGTCGAGAGGGGAGCTGAAGGCTCGGTCAAAGAGAAAACGCCTCCTGTTGTAGGTTCTTATATAAATGACGTTGAGTTTGTAAAGATAGCAAGAGGTTGAACATTTTTTTTTCTTGCCGGAGGTTCTGGAACACGGAAGGCTTTGCTACGGGCACTGATTGAAGCTAAGACCCCAACAGCATTTGGAAGTGAGTTGTGCATCAGTCTGGCGCAGTGTGGAAACACTCTCGCCTCTGAGTCACAAGGTTTGTGTTCAAGCCTCCACGTCACGACTTGGAATGATGTAGTCCAAGCTGACGCACCAATGCAGTGCTGGGGATGTGCTGTGTTGGAGCTGCCGTGCTTCGGATGACGCGTTAAACCGAATTCCCGGCTGCCTGTCCAGGTGGATGTTGAAGATATCTTTTAACACTATTCAAAAAGAAAAGGGAGTTTTTGCTGGTTTCCTGGCCAACAATCCCCCAAATAAAACTGGCCACTCACTCTATTGTCTGTTTGTGGGACAGGGTTGTACGCAAACTGGCTGCCGTGTTTTGCCCACAAAATACTCAGTCGGTTCACTTTGCAGTATATCCTGTGAAACCCTTTGAGACGTCTCGATGACGTGATCAGGCACTTTATCATATGAAAGGATTATTATAAGTATCCGCAAAGAACAATAGGAAAGGTTGTGGGGAGCGTGCAAGGCACTGAGAGTAGAGAAGGCTGCTGAGTGGAGAAGCTAACACCAGCACAGATGGGTTTCGATGGCTCACATGATCGTCTGTATTGTATTTTCTGCAGGAACGTACAGGATGGTCGTTTATTCTGTTAAATAATAGGAAGCAGTAAACTCCAGGGTTCTGATGACAGTTCATTGAGCCTTTGCTTACATTCAATTGCAATCAAATTATTTCAGTTTCTCACACCTTTCTCCCATTCATTGATTAACTCGCGTATTTGACCAGATAATAAGTAATAATCCTTGCGCTTGATATAGAATATTTCACATCGGAAGGACACCTCAAGGTACTTCACAGGATATACTTTTAAGTGTAGTGACTGCGTATTTCATCACAGTCACTCACGACCATTATACATAGTGTGATGCAAATCACAGCAGCCTAGGATCGGTGGGGGACAGGGAGGAAATACTGTAGGAAAGAACTATATGACTGGTCTCATCATTAGTGACAAAAAACTAATATTTAACCCTGTACTACTCCATCTCTCAAGCCTCTCAATCAATCTCTTCATCAAGTAGCTAACTAATTCTCCCTTGAATTTACTGAGATAATCTACCTTCACCATCTCCCTGGATATTCTATTACAAACATTCACTGTTCTTTGCTTAAGGTAATTAAATCCGAACTGTCTGCTCACCTTTCCTCTCCTGAGCTCCAATCAGTAACCCCATGTTCTAGTTTTTTGGACCATATTAAAACAATGCGATTTCGGTGGTTGATAAAATTTGAAGCAGCTTTATAATACAAGATGGTCGGATATAATATGGGGCTTTCTACACTAACGTTGCTGAGAGTTTATTGTTAGGAGGATCAATAACAATATACAGACCTCATAAATTTAACATGGATTCAAAGAATGTCTAACCACATGTGTTGGACTGCAGTTTACTTTCTCAAGACGCTGAAGTCAGGTCACAAACGTTCAATTCTTACATTGTTTTACACAAAACTTTTTCTTGAAAATGAGTCTTTTTATTAGGAGAAATTAAAAGTAAATTAAAGGATAATAAATAAGTGAGGATTTCCTAGCGGAAAGGATCAAAGGAGGATTTTTGGGGGGATTTCAAAGTTTCTTTCATTACTTTGTGAACTGATAACCCCAAAACGTCTTTCTCTCTCTCTCTCTCTCCAGTTCAGCTGGGTCACAGAAGCAACAGTTAGCCTAATGCACCCGTCACTAAAGACAGGCAGTGACAGCCTGAGGAAACACTTTGCTTAGGTTGCCCGCTGTGCTAGGATAGTAGGCACACTAATCTGCGGTTAAATCATTAAATGGGTGTGGGGGGAGTCAGACGTTCTTTGACAGCTGTAGACAGCACAATTACAGTATTAACATTGCTCAACCTTTCAATTGAACGTCACCAAGTCCTTCTCCCTTAATCCCCATCATATGCTCATTGGGCACAATCATGATAATGTATTATTTCAATGATTGCAGCATTGCCTTCCAACTGATCAAACAATGTCCCGACCGGGACCGTGGCTGAGGTGGAATCCATACTTAGTTTTTAAGAGCAAATTAGATGCATTTCTATTCTTTTGGTCGCCCATAGTGTGTGTCTGACACACGTGGGAACCTGTCATATTACTTAAAGAGAATCCGAGCAGGACCCAGAGTTCCGTGCATGCCATCTACAAAGTGAAAATTCCCTCGTCTGGAATGTCAGATAAATATCAGAGCGAAATCTAAAAGGGTGTGTATGGTGGTGGGGGAGCAACAAGAGAAGGTGACCAAATGGGAGTCTTTTAGAGAACCAGCTGTGGTATAAATTTGTATGATTCTCTGCAATTCCAGTTATGGGGAACAGGTTCCCTAGGATGACAGGAGGAGGAACACTGAAGGCACAGGAGACTTGTGTGTGTGCTGGGCTGTTGCAGTTTACTGTGCAGACTAATTTGGAGAATTAATCAAGCTTTACAAACAGGCTCTAAATTAAACACATCCCCCAAGCACACATCCGTTGCAGAGAATAGAGTTCAAAGTCAATCAATATCCTCTTAGATTGATTGCTTTCAAACTTTCTCCCACACAGCCACAAAGCCTGGGCTTCAGGAGGTTAGAAATCTCACGCGACCTAAACACCTTACCTCGAGACTCAGATTGCAATATCCTAAATCGTATTAAGCTGGACTGGGTTTGTAACCTTGGTTTCCAGCTACTCTGCCCCCACCCACCCACAACTCTCATAATCCCACACAACCCAACAACCAGGATAATGTCATTATCAGCAGATAGCAGTGTAGCAGTTAGGTTGCTGGCTTGGCTCAATGCTTTGTGAAAATCATAAAAAGTTCTCAGATAATGGATGTTGGAGTTAGCCAAGGCACCAGCCTCGTTTCAGGCCACGTCAAACAATGGGAATGAGCCTTACGAGGGTTTAATAACATCATCTCAAGATTGTGTTGCAGTCGGGTCTTACTTCCCAACAACACAACGCAGTTTACATTTAGAATTAGAAACAAAGAAACAGGAGGAG